GCTTAACTTTATAACCTGTGCTCTGCTTTTTAATTATTTTTTTTTACTTGATTAGAAAGAAAACATCCGTTGTGGGAGCCAAGTGGGACTGTAGCAGAGGCTCTATTCACTAGTTCTTGAATCCCTGCTTTCCTTTCACCACATGGAAACCCCTGCTCTTTTCTCTGGAAACGTTTGTACATGAGCACAGGCGGCTGTGGAATTGCTTAATGAGCAGACTTGTTAGATTAGTTTCATTTAGCTCTGGATAGTTTGGGTTGTAGGACTGGACTTGAACAAAACCTGCTTTTGTGCTGAGAAATGTGGATGTGGATGACCTGTTTCTGGACAAATGTCACTCGGGTTTTTTTGACATGGGAAGTCTTCAGAAATAATCATGCTCCATAAGTGGCTTCTGGAAGGTTGAAAGCACTGATGAGAGTATCCCTTTCGTTTGCATACTGTGCTCTTACCCTTAGTCCAGTTTGGCAGAGAAGTTTTCCATTCTTTTTCAGACCATTGAATTGCTCAGCTAAAATCCATAGGACTTCCTGCCCTTCAAGAGGTTGTGACGTTGTTATAACTAACTACTTGGTTTACAGACACGAAGGTATCTTCCCTTTTTGCAAGTCCCCTGAGCACACTAGTTCTGGATCTGGGAATTATTATTGCCTTTTATATCCCAGTCAAAAGTCACAGTGCTTGTGAAGAATGGGAGAAGTGCTGAATAATAAACTCTCTCTTTTTTTTAGTGACTATAAAGTAAGGCCACAAGGTGCAGTACCCAAAGGGCAGTGATACGTGTATCGAAAGTGACTGGGCTGACATTGTTTCAGTGTGAAGTAGATGGTCCTGTACTCATAACTTCATGCTAGCATCAGATTTGATAGCCTGCAAGAACTTTCTACATGGCTACTGTTGTTTGCACAAAGGATGTCTTCCTCTTTGGAATAATGTATCACCTCACTAAGGATAAAATTGCATCTTTAATGTGAGGATAAAAGACATTGGCATAGGCTTGAGTCTTTACTGCAAGTTGTTGTTTTGTTGGGTGCTGTGCACTTGAGTTACCCACCCACTTACTTGTCTACCTGGAAGGTATTCCTGTCTTTTATTTGATAGATCAAATTGGCTTTTTAAAGGCAATTGCTTGAGGCTTTTGCAAATGCTGACTTGCATTTAATTCCTGCAAATTAAAACATTGGCAGGTCTAACAAATAACAAAAGGAACTGAGGAGGGAGCAGGAAATAAAACTCTGAAGAATTGTGTATAAAATCTGTTTTTTACTAATCTTGTTTAAAGTCTATGGGATATAAAAATATATCACTTCAAATCTTGATTTTTTTTGTTGTTGTTCCTTTTTAAAATGAATAGCTAAACCCCTTTTGCCACCTCTGGTCTTCATTGCTATCCTGTTCATTCCTGTGTATTGTCTTGCTGCTCCTTGGTGTTTTGATGGGACTTTATAACTTTGTATTGCCATCAGATTTTGTAGTATATGACTATTTTTCTGTTCCTGGATCATTTATAAAAGTATTAAGTAAAATTGGTGCAAAGGCCAACCATTGAGAAAGTGCAGTCATAATCTTCTTATCAGCCCAATGATTATCCTTTCAAACACAATTCATAATCTTTCCTTAATGAATTGTTTACCCACCTTGGTTCTTGTACTGATTGCCCATCTTGATCTTAAACGTACCGTATGCAAAACTATGTATTGTAAAGTGCCAAAGAACATCAGAGAGGAAGAATGCTTTTTGATGCTGTTGTGATTTAAAAAAATAAAATTAAAAAAATGCACTTTGGTCCCGAATTCAGTTAACTTTAAAACTGTGCTTGCTGTAATTACATTGGCAGTAAAACAAGGGCATTTGGCTGTGAAAGACTGAAACCTTGAATTCTAGACCCATTCTCCATCCACTTTTCTACTTCTTCCTTTAGGATGCATGTAAAAATAATTCAGTAATACTAGAGGTATTCAATCACTTTTCCACGCTTTTATATTGTATTCTTTATTGTACTCTTGCCTTTTCCTCCAATAGAACACTGATTTAAAATTTGGCTTTTTGTGTTTCCCTGTTGTGTTGACAAGCTGTATTTCTTGTACTCCCTTCTCTTTTCCTATTCGGAGTCCAGGCAAATGGCAAGTTCTCAGAAGTCCAGATTAACAGTGACAGTGGTATTGAAGCTGTGCCAGGTGAGCCTAGAAAATGAGAACAGGAGCTAGCTGAGTGTGAACCCGCTCTTCAGCGACAGCTATTTTGATTGTGAAAGGCAAAATGAACTGCAGAATTCCCAGTATCCTTTGTGCCAGGAGCTATTTCTGCTCATCATGTGTTTTAGAGGGCTGCGTGCTCGGCACAGGAGGCTGTGCACAGGAACAGTGCTGAAAGCAGAATTGTTTGGGACAGGCAGACATACTGACCTGTGTGTTTATGGGTTGTGTGATGATCTGGAATGAAATTTCCTTTTCTGCATGAAACTTGTAAGGATGCTTGTAAGAATTTTTTTCATTTTTAGACTGTAGGAAGAGGAGACACCAGGAAAATAATCAACATCTGTTAAGTAATCCAGCTCATCTCTTGTGCTAATGTGATGTCATCTGTGATTTTGCAGTTGCTAGGCTACTCCAGCTGCTCTGGACTTGCACAGCAAATAAAATACGGAGGCATAGGTTGTGCTTTATGTGCACTTTCTTAATGCTTCCAAGTGTCATTAACTACTCCCTCCTCTTTTTAGCATAGAAGTGTTCTTTAGAATCTTTGCAAATAAAATCCTTCTTTTTGTAGAGGCTAGTAGTTCTCATGCATTTGAAAAAAAAATACAATCAACATGGCAACTTGTTAATTCAGAGCTGGATCCTACTGCTGTATATCATTTCTGTTTTGATCAAGGAAAAAACAGTTTGTGGAGAAGATGAAAAGGGAGATGACTGCAGGGCTTCTGAATGTTGGCAAGAGGGAGCATCAGAGCAGTTTTTGATGTAGTTCTATGAGATATGGGTCCTACATATGAAAAACAAACTACTGCTTGGTCCTTAATATTTCCTCCTTTGAGTATAGCATATAAATTGTGAAGTGTATAAAAATAAATGTAGTTGCATTTCATAAGCATTGATTTAGTTTTTAAGAATATTAGCAAGGGGGAATTTACAACCTTCTCTTCCCTGTTTTTTGGCCACTTTTCCTTCTCTATTGCAGCTAAAGAGCAAATTAGATAACTGAGAAATTGAATTCATGTAACAGATGAGGAATTTTTATTAGTCCTCCTTCTTTTACCTTGTATGCAGGTGTATAGGCAGAAGTTGCTTGGGGCACAAAGCTGAAATCTGCTTCTTGATATGCTTCAAGTAAAAAACTGGAGAATTTTTATATGCTGCTGCTCCATCCAAGTTGAATTTGAACTTTCCAAAGCCCAGTAAGAGAATCCTGTGGAGCTGATCAGTTACCTGAATGGGGCAGGCAGGCAGCGCTGCTTTTGTCATTTCCTACTTTGTTGCCTGATCCCTTAATAGAAGCTTTGAAGAAAAACTTATTAAGCAAAATGATCCCAAGCAGACTGAATTAATTGATGAAGGCCAAAATGCTCATTGTGAATCATCTGTTGCACTTAAACACTTAAGATCATTTGAATGGAGGAAATAATTTTTAGAAATTGCATAGGCAGTGACTGGAGGATTCCTCATGTTTTCTAATCAGTTAGATAAATGCTGTTAGAGGATCTACAGATGAAAGAAAGCATTTACTTTTGTCTGACTTTCTTGGGGATCAAATTTTTACCAGAAGTTAAAAATACTGCACTCAACCCTTCGGGGTTATTTTCTAATTCTTGTCTAGACTAGAGATACTGATTTAAACCACTGCTTTGACACTACTGTATGATGTATTTTTATTTCCATGTTGTCCTGAAGACATTTCTCTTTAAGTGCCTGTTACACCATGCTCTATAGTTAGGATGTCCAGAGAGCTGATGTTTTTTTCTGAAGATTTCAAGGTATCTTTTTGAAGAACAAGAGATTAGCATGGAATGACCTTTACAAGCCTTTATCAGACATGATTCTCAAACCATTGAGGTCTTTCTCCTATAAATGCCCAATTGAAAGACAACACAAGTTTACAAAGACTTAGAGATGGTTATACAAAGGTAATAACATCTTTCTGAGCTTAGGAGACATGGGTTTTGGTGGTATTTATACACAGTTGATAGCCTTAATTGGAGAGAAAAAAAAAAATCCAGTAACTGAGACAAAGTCCACACACTGAATTCTTCTGGAAAAGACTTCTTCAGGCTAGGGATCAAAGCATTACTTAGCAAAGCTGAATCTGTTCCCTGGGCAAATGGAAGCCTTCAGGTTGAAAGAAAATATTGCATTTCCATTAGAGAATGGAATGTCTGCAAGACATGTTAGTTTATAAAGGGTGTTTTAAGTGATTTTCAGGGTGAGGGGGAGCAAAAACATTTCAGCTGGCGTATTAAAACCATTTTTTTTCTTAAAAGCAAAGAGTAATGAATATCTAGATGTAAAGATAAAGAATATTTAAATGTCACTTGAAAAGGACAGTGTGATGCATAAGGCAGTAAAGTTTTATTGAACCGTTGAGTTTCTCATACTTCAGAGAAGCTTGAGAAGTCTCTTAAGCAGTGCCAGACTTTATGGGGCGGGGGGGGATTATTATCTCTACATGTCTGTGGTGACAAACCTGTGAATTTTTTAAAAATTTCTCTTCTTAGAAATATGTGAAAGCAAGGAATTCTTGGTTTTTGTTAAAAACAAACTGATTTCCTTAGGCTTGCAAAGGAACATTTTAAATCTACTGTTGAAATATTAAATGTTTAGACCACTTTAGATTCCAGTCCCACAAAAAGAAGAAAACACAGCTTTCTCTTCTTCCTGTCCTCTTTTTCCTTTCCTATTGAATTTATGGAAGTATAAAACAACAGTTGGGGTGCTCCATCCACCTGGTGTTCTTTAAAGGAAGTAATTATGGCACATATTTTCCTCTATCCATTGTTATTACAGGTGCTGAGGATGTTGTGATGGCATTTTCCAGATCAGAGACAGAAGACAGAAGACAGTAACGACAGGATACCTGAACAACACAGAACTGGAGAGGACAGTGAGATTCCTGAAGATGGAGGAGGATGGCTGAGCATTATTAAGTTCCTTTGCCCACCCTAATTGTTCCTTGGTATTCCTTCTCCTTTGTAATTTCGTTTCCCTTTGCCCAACCCTCAGAATGCATCTCACAGCCATCTATTCCTGTAAGTTTTCGCTGCTCAGCTGGGCTGTGTTAATTAAGGACAAACCTAAAGGTGTATTTTTGATTGGCTAAAGGAAGACAATTTTTCAAACTTGACCAATGAAAACCTTTTGTCTCACATTTTATTTTGTATTTTAAAGAAAGTCTCTTGACATCCTACTTCTAAAGAAGCTTTTCATGCTGTGGTGCTTATTTAGGTCAAACTTGTGAATTTGAAGAGGGTTTGATTTGGCTGCATAGAACTGGAAGCAACTGGTGATTGGTTGACAATGCAAATGCTTTCTCTTCAGTTGGCTTGCAGGTATTTTGCTGACTTTGACATTTTCATTGCAGAAAGCTGATGGTTTGGTGCATTGGTTATTTCTTTATACTTACTGACTTGGGGGAAAAAAGACAAATGTGCTTTGCAATATTTATTACATCTACACACATATAAATGCTTGCTTTTTTGGGTTTGTTTTGGTTTTTTTGATTGGCTTTGAAATCATGTTTTTGATTTCCTATTGGCTGCAGTGTTTCTGATGCAATCAGTTTTTCCATACTCATCTGCTCTGTGGCCTCAAGCTCTTTAGGGAGCATTTGTCGAAAGCATATTTAGTTCAATAAGTCTACCTGTTTAAGCTGGAACATGGAGATCACCAGCCCATCTGTGCTACTTCGTGGGCTGTACTGTGAACTCCTGGTAGAGCTGGCTGTTCAGGTGGCTTCTCTCTTTGCTTCTGACCGAGGAGCTGTAGATATTTTGCAGGAATTGCAAGAATGAGATCTATGGCTGTGACATGAATTTGCCAAATTTGTATAGAGAATATGTGAACTTGTTTAAAATACTACATATAGTTCCACTTTAACCCTTTAATTGCTGCGCAAGACTAGCTCTCACATAAGGAAAATTGGTGATCATTAACTTAAATCCAACTTGCACTGGGCTTTAATAAAATAAGTTTCTAGTCACTTGAAAAATTCTATGTGGTTTGGCTCCTTGCAACTATTTGATGATATGGAAATTATCTGGATCCTAAGATTTTCTTTAGGCCCTGTTTCAAGAGGCAGTAGCACTGCATTAAGCTGTCCAATACTGAGTGTACAGGTGACACCCTCAGGTTTACTCTCTTAGTAGTTGCAGGGCCTTAAAACACACACAACGCATGTACAAGCTGAAAAACCTGCAGTGAAATTCCCAACCTGCACTGACTGTTCAGGAATCTGCACATAAAATTTCTAGCACTGCTGCCTAAAACCTAGCACTTCATTTTCTCTTGTATGTGCAGGTCATTTTTACAATACTTCTAGATTTTTCTTGTGAGTTGCACTGACTTTAAGATGTTTCAAAATCTATTAAAGCAGAACTCCACTCACCTGTTCCTGGTTCCTTTCATATGGTTGTTAATGATTTGAAGTAACAACGCCAGAATCTGACTGACAACATGACCATTTTCATGGCAGGAAATTATGGTGACAGGACGCTGTTGTGGTCTCAAAATGGGGAAAAAGCTTGAGAAAAATAATGGAATGCATGCAAAATGAAGAATGGACTTGTGAGCACAAGCTGGGAAGTTCTTGAGTAAATAAATACTGTGTAGTGAGAACAACTGTACAACTATTTATGAAAAAGATCCTTTTGATTCAGTTGCAGCTTTGTAAAGTTCAACATGAAAGTAAAACTTTCACCCCTGTTTGTTGGGGCGAGATAAGGAGTTTCTTTGTCAAAATAAACCAGGAGTGAGCCCAAAAGATTCTTTAAATTTTGACCTGGCTGCCTAAGAGGCACTTTAATTTAAACTTTGGTGCAAAGCGGGGCAGCCCTTAGAGGGTTAATTGGAGGGGTTAAATGTGTTTCTGGCTGCTGGCTGAACTGAATGGGCTGGATTGTGGTGGCCTGTCATTGTCAAGCTAACATGCATCCTCCGTGTGTATCTATGGCATTTCTGAGCTGTTAAATCTTTTCAAGGAGAAGAGTGAAGTGTTTATGTGGTTTAATCTTTTCACTAAAAATGTAACTGTTGGAGGGGGGGAAATACAGTTTTTAATAGCTACTCTTGTTTCTTTTTGATTTATTATACTGTTCAACTGCCAAATGGAAAATACTTGCTTGACCTTTGCAGAAGACTTCCATATAGGCTTCAAACTTGGAGTCTTGAGTAATAGACTCAAGTCAGCTGAGAAAGATATATTGATAAAAGGCGATGTGTTGTATAACAACGCGATTTGGGATTCAGAAACTGGAGATGATATAGTCTCTTGAGAATATTTGTGCTTGCTGTGTTACCTGTGTGCTCTCTTCCTCCCCACTGGTGATTTCTTAACTTTAAACCAGGGCTGGAAGATTTATAATAAAGAATTCATTTATAAATCATGGAGAAAGTAGTGGAAAAAGAGGACTTTCCAATCTTCTTCTTGCTGTGAAAACTAAATCCCTATTACCACTGTGGAGCCTAGATTAATTGGGAGGTAGAGAAACCTGCACAGAGTACATCAGCATGGTTGACTTGTTTATTGTACGTACAAATTTCTCTAGCTTTACACTTGTGCTTTTGCATTCTCAGGCAAACCATTACTAATAAAAAAATTTAAAAAAAATAAAGAAAGAAATAAAGAAATCCAGTGTTTTAGAGGTCAGAGGTGAGTATGGATCTAAATTGAAATACATTGGTAAATAGGAAAGGCTGCATAGTTCAACGACCAACCAAATAGTGCTTAAGGCATTCAGTAAGGGAGTGTAAAAGCTTTGGAGGCACCTTCCAAAAAAGCACCCATGCTTTGAGTGGTCCTTTTGGGAGACATGATCCTTTAGATATTCAAAATGTGCTGTTGTACTACTTCTCTTACCAAGCTTATAATTTACCTCTCCTACCACACTCTATTTTGCAGAGCTTGAGGAAAAGATTTAGAGCTCTCATCTCTCTCCAGATGGATAGCAATTGCTGTAATTGTTGGTAGGTCCTTGTGTCTGTGACCATTGCCCATTGTAAATGAAAATGAGACTCCACCACTCACACAGGCCTTTAGATTGATTCTCCCAGGTCCTAAAATAAACCACGAAGTAACAGAACATGTGAGCTAATGGCACAGCAACACTTTGGAAGGAGCTATTGCCTGAAAGAAGCAATAGAATGAAATAAACTCTTCATATTTTTTTGTTCCTATTCCTAAGGTAAGTAGTTCCTATGAGTTGTCTCCTTCTCATGGCTGTTCAGTGGCCTGTGTGAAAGTTTCTAATGCTTTATCATTAAATCTGTTTCAGTTCTGTAAGGTCTATATTTCAAATTCACCAGCAGCCTAAATAGTTCTGGTGAAGGCTAAAGATTAAATGGCCCATGAAAGTCAAAGACCCCTGTCACCTATAGAAGAGATCATCCTAAATAAGAATTCAGGGTCATATGTGGGATAAATTTCTATAGCTATTGAGAATCTGTTAGAAGAATAGAACAGTGCTATGTCTAAAGTTACCAGTGTTTTATAATGCAAGAGGGGGAAAAAAATAAAGGCCAAAAGTTGAAAGCTTTGAATCAAATATATATATTGTATGTTAGAAATTATTTTATGGAAGACATACTGAGTGCCTGGCCAAGGAGGGGAATGTATAATTTGGATTACTTTAAGATCAGTCCTTTAGCTTTCTTTTTGGTCTTTTGCCTCCTAAAGGACTGTGTGGCAGAGCTGAAGAGCAAAAAAAGGCTGCAGGGCACTGGGACCAGCAGAAACCAACAGTGCAGTAAGAACAGTTTCTGGAGGTTTAAGAAATCTTCAGTTGTATTCAGTGTCTACAAAAGAAAGAGTCCTTAGTGAGTAAACATCTCTTCCTCACTTATTCATCAGTAACAAAGTGTTCCAAAGCTTAGTGGATAATAAAGGGCTTTTAAGAAGCTTTGTTAAAACTGCAGAATAGTTTTTAGGTGTAAGAGTAACAGGAGGCTGAAGTGTTGCACAGCTGCTGCCTTGGTAGGATATTTGCTGAATGCAGTTGGGTTTTAAATTAACTGACAGCAATATGATATACATCTAGCCTTAGCATCAGCCTATTCAACACTGAAATGAAACTGGACCTATTTGTTACTCAGTGCTGCAGTCAGAGGTGTGTATCTGTGACTTCTTCAGAGCTGCAGTAAGTAGGTCACTGGATTGCTGTGGTGGTTCTTCCAGATCTGCCTTGGACCTGCTGTGTAAATACAGCAAGTCTATGCAGACACTTTGCACTACCATTTCCCTTAAACCTCCTTGTTACTGGTGCTTTTCATAGTCTTGCAAATACAGAAGTGCTGTATAACAGGGAGAAGCATTGTTATTACTTACCAAGGTAAGAGGGGAGCTTGGATCTATTCCCTGTCAGACTCTAGTAGGTTCCCATACAAAGACAGAAATCACCTACTGTCTTTTGAGCTCTGCTTTCATTTTCTTTGCAGCTGATATGCCCTAAGCAGAATTCTTGCAGTATGTTATAAACAACCTGGCTAGTTTCCTTTGTAGCCTGAAGCACTTCAATTTTGGAGTTTGTTTATTTTGGAAAAGAGAAATATATTTTTTTAAGCTTTATAGCCTGGCCTGCTTACAAGCTGTTTCATGTATCAGCATGAATTAGTTATACGCACAGAGCTTTTTGCTGCCTTGACATTTTCCAGGTTAATTCTCCTTGCTAGTAAATGCTGATCGGTGGCCAGAGTCCTGTAAAACTCAGAAAATAAACTGTTAAGCCTGTTTTTAACAATTAAAATGCTAACTCCAACCCAGACGTGGACTGATGCATCCATACTTCCCTTTAGTTTTCACCTTAGATTATTATTGCTGCTCTTTTCTGATGCAGTTACAAATACAGCAGTCCCTCCAGGGTCAAAAGATGATTGTGTCTGTACCCTTGGTGGGAGCAGCTGGAGACACTTACTCAATGCATAGCAAGCATGCTCTCCCCATGTGTTGTGCCTGTCATTGCTACACAGCACCTGAGCTCTTTGGAACCCCCCAGAGAAAAAGGCCCTTTACCCACTCAGAGAGTAACACAGGTGGTTAATAACTATTTTTTTTTTTTCCCAAGGTTGTAAAATACTTCTGATTAACCTTGTTACTTGAAGTTGGTTGAGCTGAATTCTAAGGTTACATCTGTGTTCTGAGTTGAGGCTCTTAAAATATTAGGGACCCATTTAGCTAGATTTATGTTTGAATAGGTATTCAATAGTGTTCTTTGCTTAACTGTTACCGTCTAATCCCCAAGCAGAGAGTTCCTTGTTTTACTTGCACTGTACACCACTTCTGTGTAGCTAATTTCAATTTTTGGAAGACACAAATAATAATTCAGTTATTCAAGCATGCAGATTTTGCTGTTTACACTGTAGTCCACATGTCACATAAAACACATTCCCATTTTGCAGTGAGGTGAAAGTAATTTTACTACTCTTTGCAGATAAAGCCTGTGGCCATAACTCAACTCTGATGCTTGCTATGTTCTAACTGATGTAAGAAACAAGGATGATTGTTCTGAAAATATCTTTCCTCAAATGAGGGGAATTTTGTAGGATGAGCATGGATAATACAAGTTTGAATTGATGTAGAGATACACCAGAATAAGAAGGTGGCTCCAAAACCTTGCTCTCTACCCATTCTACCTGTGGAGTTTTGTTGTAAGCTGCCACAAGAGTTCAAAAGTTCCTTTTGTTTCCTGCCCTTCGTATGTTCCTTCAGAGAAGCTAAATGCATAATTGTGGTCCAAGACTGCAGACCAACTTGTGACTGGAACTGAAAAACAGCTTAATGATGTCTGTTGTGCAAACAGGAGCCCTGTGTTCAACTACAGTAGGAAGGGAGTGTGGCACTGGAACTAGTCGTCTTTATAGTGTAGGGTAAGACTATGATGGTCTCACTGTTACTGATGGTTTTGACATTTGGTTTTGTTTTTTTAAACAGTGTGAAAGGATGGAAA